AGTTGATTGGGATAAATGAAAAAGAAGGGGACATCGTAAAGGATGTCAAGAGGATATTTAGAGAAGTAATAGCTGAAAATTTCCCGAACACAAGATTGGAAACTGATATCAAGATCAATGAAGCATATAGAACTCCAAATAGCCATAACCAAAATAAATCTACACCCAGACATATAATAATGACCATCCCAGAAATTGAGCAAAAGAATAGAATATTAAAAGCTGTCAGAGAGAAGAGACAGACCACCTATAAAGGAAAATGTATCAGAATCACAGCAGACTTCCCAGCACAAACAATAAAGTCAAGAAGGCCAGGCAGTGAAGTATTTCAGATCCTAAAGGAAAATTATTTCCAACCTAGACTGATGTACCCTGAAAAACTGTACTTCAAAATCAATGGAGAAATAAGATACATCTATGACAAAGAAAAGCTGAAAAACTTCATGATCACCAAGCCAACCCTGCAAAGAATACTGAAAGACAGCCTAGATACATTTAGGAAAAAAAACCTCTAAACAAAACAGACAGGGTGCTGGGGATTTAGATCAGCAGCATAAGTGCCTGCCTTGCAAGCAGGCAGTCATGAGTTCGATCCCTGGTACCGATAAAAACAAACAAACAAAAAAACAAAAAAACAAAAAACAAAAAGAAACAAAACAGACAGTTAAAAAGAGCAGAAAGATAAAGATGCAACAGCGGAAAGATAACATGTCAACAATAAACCAATATGTAACAGTTCTAACCATTAATGTAAATGGTCTCCATAGATCAATAAAAGAAACCAACTGGCAGAATGGATTAAGAAACAAAATCCAACCATATGCTGTCTACAAGAAACCCATCTAAACCCAAAAGGATACTCACAGACTGAAAGTCAAAGAATGGAAAGCAATATTTAATGCAACAGGAGCCAAAAAAAAAAAAAAAAAAAAAAAAAAAAACAACGGAGGTAGCTATTCTGTTTGCAGACTATGTGAACTTCAAGTGAATAATGATCAGAAGGGATAAAGAAGGTCACTAAATCCTGGTTAGGGGAAAGCTCCAAGAGGAAGAGAAAACTATCTTAAATTTATATGCACCAAACTCCAGAGCACCTAATTATATAAAACAAGTACTAACAAAAATGAAAAATCAAATTAGCAGTAACACAATTCTAACAGATCTTAACACACTACTGACACCAATGGACAGATCAACCAGACAGAAAATGAGCAAGGAAATAAAAGAACGGAATCACATCTGTGAATAAATGGACTTAATAGACATATACAGAGTATTCCACCCAACAACAACAGAATACACATTCTTCTCAGTATTACATGGGTCATTCTCTAAAATAGACCATATACTAATTCACAGAGCATATTTAAATAAATGCAAAAGGGTTTTGAAATTATCCCTTGCATGCTATCAGACCATACCACTATGAAATTAGAAATTAATGATAAAAGATACTGCAAAAATCCCACAAACACATGGAAACTGAATAACACTCTTGAGTAATCAGTTAGTCACAGAGGAAATTAAAGAAGAAATTAAACAATACCTACAAACAAATGGAAACACAAATACAACGTACCAGAATCTGTGTGATGCAATGAAAGCTGTCCTCTGAGGAAAATCTATTGCATGAGTTCCCACATTAGGAAAACAGAACGAATACAAATAAATAACCTGATTTTATACCTCAAACATCTAAAAAAGAAGAGCAAGTCAAGCCCAAAGCCAAAAGAAAAGAAGAAATTATAAAAATCAGAGCAGAAATCAATGCAATAGAGACTAAAAAAAAATCCAAAAAATCAATGAATCAAAGACATGGTTCTGTGAAAGAATAAATAAAATCTAACAGCCCCTAGCCAACCTTATTTAAAAAATGGAAGAAAAAGTTCAAATCCATGCAATAAGGAATAAAAGAGGTGAAATTACTAAAGACCCTATTGAAATACAGAAGATGATCAACACCTATTTCGAAAACCGCTCCTTTCAAAGGTTTTATAACAGAGAGGAAATAGACAGATTCCTAAAGCATATGAAGTACCACAGTGATATATGTGTGCCCATTTTTATAGCAGCACAGTTTGTAATAGCCAGACTTTGGAAACAACCTAAGTGTCCATCAACTGAGGAATGTATAAAAAAGTTATGGTGTTTTTATACAATGGAGTACTACTCAGCTATGAAGATTGATCACATTGACATATAAATAAATGGGCGCAGCTTGAGACCATACTCATAAGTGAAATAAATCAAACTCACATGTATAAATACCAAATATATTCCCTAGTATAAGAAATGATAACACATAGATGTATGTGGTAATCATGATACCCAATCATATTGGTTTGAATCCATATAATGTTTTCACTCATTAAGTGCAATGGTTTTACCCTGGGTTTTTCGATTTTAGTATTGGTGATAGTACGAATAGCTATTCTGAAGAAAATAACACATCATAAAAGCTAGTGCTGATTTAATATCATCTCCTTTGGAACTCCCATCAAGCTGTTGTACAGGTTTCCAAAGGTTTTAACATGTTGTATCTTAGTATATTTTACTGTACATGATAGTATAAATAAAATTTTTTACAGGCAAAGAGATAATATAGAAATTGTTGTTCATTTTCTGTTAACTGGCTCTAAATACCCTGTAATTCTTTCATTCTCTTGAATGGCTTCACACTGTCTTGATATGATTGATTCCATACTATACGAAATTATACTCAAACAATTCAAGGAAAGAGGCACTATGGTGACTACTATTATGTTAGATTACCTGGTGGTGAAACAAAATGATGCTTTAATTGTTCAGTTCCGACCTGTGTTCTTCTATTACAATGTCTTTTATCTCGATCTCCACCCTTTTTAAAAAATTCTATTTTTTCTTATTTTTTTCAATTAAAGGAAAACTAAATTAAAAAATAGCGGGATATATTATAGTAACTTTTTTGTTTTCCTATTAACCTGATTTTAACCCCAGTATTGCTCTCCCCATCTTGTTCTTCCTGATTTTACTATATTCTATTTTGTTTGATAGCATCAAGTTTGAGAGTATAGGCAACCATTTTGTAGGCAGTAAAATTTACTATGATGTCCATTATGGTTTGACTATTATCTTCTTTTGAAATCCTGTAAGGTCTCCAGTGTAGATTTTATTGCTCTAGTTCTGTACTGTTTTGATCAATTCTATTACACCTGATGATATAGCAACTCTTTTTAAAAATAGCAAGAGGCACAGTGGTAACCATTTTTGATCACCTGATATTCTATTTTTGCATCAAGTACTATGCCCATCCTTACGTTCTAACCAACTCTGTTTTGTTAACTCACTTGAGGTTTTATTCTCTTCAAAAAGAGTAATAAGTATTATGGGAATAACAAATAAAAACCCAAAAGTGTAATTGTTATTGTGAAGAAGAGAGGAAAGGAAGGGGGTCTAAGAGATATAAGTGCCTGTTTGAGTGTGTAGGACGGAAAACCATATTACTGAGCTTTGTTGGATCATTGAACAGAACTGTCTGCAATCTCGCTGTAGGAATGTTCACTTTATATGCTTTAATTTTATAATTTGGACAACTGTTTCTAAGAAGACAATATGTAACCTATTAACTAGTGATTTCTTACTGTATTTTTTTCTTGAAATTCTGTATTATTTGTACCCTTTACTGCTTTGTTTTTTATGTTCTTTTTTTTCTCTTTAAATAAAAAAATTAAACCTGGAATTTATATCTTGTATTTATTTTTTGGTACTGGGGATCAAAGTGATGACCTCACACTTGCCAGGCAGGTGCTTAAGCCACTGAGCTAAATCCCCAGCCCCCCAATATATATCTTTCACATCTTATCATCTTCAGACTAATGGCTTCTACTCTTGGACTTGATACCAGCAAGCATACCAAATGTGAATAAAATCAGTAAAGGCCAAATAACATTCAAACAATCCAGCTTCCAAAAGATCAGTCATAGTAAGACAATGTAAGTAATACAGGGTTTCAGTTTTAGTTAATAGGAAATTAAGGACAGTTACCATCATGGTATAACCTGCTATTTTTGGGTTACCTCTCTGTGCCCTCAAATCTAATATGAGTAGAGAGACCAGAACAAAATATAATCAAAATAAACAGAGCAACAGAACTACTGTAGCTTTTAAATCCTGATAACTTTTAACAGTGTCGTCTGCCTTCCTTTTTTAGGCAATTCCTCGCCTTTCTCCTTCTCAGGATACTATTATTCACTGTTCAGAGTGATAGTAGTTTAGTCTCTTATGTTCAATTTCAGCATACATAAAAATAAAGATGTCAACTACGAAGAGAATGAGACACATTATGGTAAGCATTATCAACTTCCCCAAAATCAGTCTTGAAGATCAAAAAAGCCTGCATCATCCTGTAATTATTTGATTAGTTCTATAATGTTAAGTATATATTCAATGCTTGTAAAGATGGGAACAACTATTTGGAAGAAAACAGTAAGAACTATTTGGAAGAGACTGTAAGATAGACAATGAACATCTCAGTGGACTTGCTTTGAAACCTGTGTTTCCTTAACTTGTTTCCTTATGAACTGTTCTGTTTTGTTTTGTCATGTTTAATCTTACCATCTTTAAAATAAAAAACAAGTTTGTAGAACATATAAGCATATTAATAAGTTTTCATTGGATCACTGAGGTAAACTGTTCACAGTGTCATTATTTGAATATCACTTTGTATGCTTTAATTTTGTAACTTGAACAATTACTTCTACGATGACAATATATAACTAATCAACTAGTGATTTCTTATTGTTTATTTTTCAGAAATTCTGTAGTATTTCTACACTTTTTGGTTTTTTCTTTAAATAAAAATAAACAAAAATATGAAAATTAAGTTTTAAAGACAAAATATTAAGTACATAGACACTATCGATACTTGAAAGTGAAAAGCCCATTTCAGTTTACCATGTTTAATTACAAGATGCCATGTTGAAGCACAAAGGCACTTTACAAAATCTAAAGAGGTATAAGTGATTAACTGAAAACCATACAAAATATATACTTGAGTAGAGCTCCACATCAGAATTGTTGTTTCTGGAAAATTGTGAAGAAATATTGATATCAAACTTCTGTATTGATTATTTCTTCAGGTCTACTTGGAATTTTTAAAGTAAACTTAGATCTAAACTGTCTGAAGAGTGCTGCTTTTTCTATGTATTTAACAACAAACATGGATTGCCATATTTCTCACACTGTTAATACACATAGGATCCAGTGAGCTCTTTCAGATACGTAACAATGATCATGTGTGCTGAGAGTATTCCCATAACACATAGGATTTATCTCTTGTGTGAGCTTCTTCACGTATTTCACTTACAATCTGGCTGCTGAAAGTGTCTCCACTTCCTTATGTAGCCAGTGGTTCTTCCCAGTGTGAATTGTTTCATGTGTTTTGCAATGACTGTATGTGTTAAAAGCTTTGCCACATTGTTATATGCATATTGTTTCTCACCAGTGTGGAGTCATTGATGTATTTCACAAAATCCATGTGTGGTGAAAGGTTTCCCACATTCTTCACATAAACAGGGTTTCTCAACAGTGTAAATTTATTCATGTACTGGACAATGAGCATTTCTGCTGAAACCTTTCCCACATTCCTTACATATATGTTTTCTGCCCAGTGTGAAGATTTTCACCAATTATGCAATATGTACTTGTGCTCAAAAAATTCTCATGATTCTTACATACACTGGTTTTATTTTGAGTGTGAACTTTCTTGTTGCTTACGATGTCCATTTCCGGTAAAACCTTTCCCACATTGTTTACATATATAGGGTTTCTCTCCAGTGTGAATTCTTTCATGTCGCTTACAACTTCCATGTTGGGTAAAAGCTTTCCCACATTGCTTACATACACAGGGTTTCTCTCCAGTGTGAATTCTTTCATGTCTCTTAAAACCTCCCAATGTGTTAAAAGCTTTCCCACATTGCTTACATACATATGGTTTCTCTCCAGTGTGAATTCTTTCATGTTGCTTACAATGTCCGTGTCGGGTAAAACCTTTCCCACATTGCTTACATACATAGGGTTTCTCTCCAGTGTGAATTCTTTCATGTTCCTTACAATGTCCATGTTGGGTAAAACCTTTCCCACATTGCTTACATACATAGGGTTTCTCTCCAGTGTGAATTCTTTCATGTTTCTTAAAACCTCCCAATTTGTTAAAAGCTTTCCCACATTGCTTACATATATATGGTTTCTTGCCAGTGTGAATTCTTTCATGTTGCTTACAATGTCCATGTTGGGTAAAAGCTTTCCCACATTGCTTACATACATATGGTTTCTTGCCAGTGTGAATTCGTTCATGTTGCTTACAATGTACATGTTGGGTAAAAGCTTTCCCACATTGCTTACATACATATGGTTTCTCTCCAGTGTGAATTCTTTCATGTCTCTTAAAACCTCCCAATGTGTTAAAAGCTTTCCCACATTGCTTACATACATATGGTTTCTCGCCAGTGTGAATTCTTTCATGTTGCTTACAATGTCGAGAGATGGTAAAACCTTTCCCACATTGCTTACATGCATAGGGTTTCTCTCCAGTATGAAATCTTTCATGTTGCTTACAATGTCCAGATTTGGTGAAACCTTTTCCACATTGCTGACATACATACGATTTCTCTCCACTGCAATATCTTTCATGGATCTGAACATTGTGGTGTGTTTCTGCTTCTTTCACATTCACATTACCTTCTGCAGTACAAGGGAATACTTCTTTACACTGATTCCAAGATGTATGTCTATAGGATTTCCCTAGCTTTTCATTTCTGTAAAAAAAAAATCACATATAGGATTGATAACTGTATTACAAAGTTTTTATTGAAGAGTTGAACAAAACTGTTTGCAGTCTCGCTGTTTGAATCCCCACTTCATATGTTTCACTTTTGTGTTTCATTAACTATTTCTATGAGCAGCATATGTAATCATTGTCTTTAGATTTCTTACTGTTTATTTTCACTTTGAAAGTGGTATTATTTCTACTTATTTTGTTTTTTTTAGTCTTTCCTTACATTAAATAAAAAAGAAAAATTCACATTGAAATGGGTCTCAGTTTAATGACTGCATTAAGGTCACATTCTGTTTTTAATGCCTGCTAAGAAATTCTGACCATGAAGTAACAGAATGGCCTTGTAAGACATGTTGAAAACAACCATTCCCAAAAGACTGGTACACACTTGGAAATCTTAAAATTTGGTACCTTTTGAAATGCAGAATCTTTATCTTCACTTTGGGCATGGGTACATATGTGTATCACATAGAGATCATTCTGATATGTTTCCCCATCACAATCTCCCTTCTGTCCTTAACCTGTAGTTACCTTTTCCATATGTTCACTCTTACTTTTCTCTATTAACTCTCTTTCATTACATTCCACAATTTATATTTTGGTTTCTCATCTAAAAGAAACCCTGTGACATCTTAGGTTTTATAGCTGAGCTATTTCACCGAATTGATGGGAGAAAGAACCACCTATTTCTTATGGGAAATGATGTTACATTCTTTATTTTTTGACATTATATAACACTTTTTTTTCTTTTCCATGCTGGGAATGAACAACAGCTATTAGCATAAAATCTATAGCTTTTTAAATCTGTTTTAAGAGATTTTCGCTGATCATTAAGCTGTGAAGTTTGAACTTGAATTTGCCATTCTGCAAAATCTGATTCCTAGTGTGGTGGGTTTACAAGAATGCACAATCACAGAGAGTCTATTAACATTTTCCTTCTCCACAAATCCAGTGATAAATAGCTAAGCTTCTTCAAGGCCTGATCTATTATATCTTGATCTGCTTTGTATATGAGTAAGCATGTATCAATATTTTACGTGGACTTTGAATTATTAAAAATATATCCAGGACAAGTATGAGGGGATCAATTTCTAGAGACAACTGCACACTGATATTCAGAATGAGTGCACTTAACATTCAACCAGCCTTCTAAGAATTTTACTCAGAATGGCTGATTCTTTAGAGCATGGCTTGCAAACACAAGCACTCTGTTTCATTTCAAATTATTGCAATCGTAGAAATTTTTAGATAATGAATGTGTTATATTCACATGTATATATGGGTAGAAAAACTAAAGGGAGAATGTAATAACTCAAAGTGTATGCCTTTCATACACATCTATATGCAATGTCATGTATTTTCATGATTTAATTCACTCATTATACATACCCTAGCTTATATGTATTCATAGAATATTACTGACAATAAATTGAATGGTGCCTCATTTCTTTGGCAGTCATTTTTCTGCTGACTCACTAATTACTCAGGAACATTCCTCTCCTTGTGAGTACGAATTAACTTAAGTATCTCCAGTAAATTTTGCATTCTTTTTCAGCTTCCTGGATATCCCCAAGTCCTCCTGAATTGTAGAGATAGAAATACCAGGACTCATTAGAATAATACATACAAATTAATAGATTTTGTTTAGAGTTATGATATAATGTGTCCAGGTCTGAGCTATTTTTAAAAATATTTTCATATTGTTTTTAATGCAACAGCACTGATGAGCGACATACAACATTCTGACAGCATGAGTGACAAAAGTATTTTGTCCTTACCTATTGCAGTCATGTTCCTAAAGGTTTCGCCCATCACATCGCTGTAGAGGTTCTTTTGGGAAGGACTCAGCAAACTCCACTCCTCATTGCTGAAGTTCACGACCACATCCTCAAAGGTCACCGCCTCCTAAAGGATCATACAAATAGTTCTCACACGAAGGTTGAGACACCAGGTTTGTGATATCTTAAATTGTCTCCTACAAATCTGAATCAAAAGCAAAGTGTGGTGGTGCATATCTATAATCCCAGCACTCAAAAGTCTGACACAGTATGGCTTCGGTGAGTTCAGGGCAATTCTAGGCTCCATAGGGTGTTCAAATCTGATATATGTACAAAATGCTTGTCTCAATAAAACAAAACAAAACAAAACTAAACTAATAAAACAAAACAAAACAGCTGAATGAAGACTGATTTCTTCAAATTTAAATCCATGTTTTGGTCATTAATTTTGCATATATACACATTTTTGAAAACAGCAAATTTGATGATAGATTGCAACTCACTGCTAATGTAACAGTGAAATAGAAGCACTGATTCTTGTGCTGAGTCACTGCAAGATTCCCTGTGTACTGTCTCTAAAGCAGAGCTCACAGTGAGAAGCCTGCAGGACCAGCATCCACAAAGCACAGAGGCAATTAAATAGCCCATCAATCAACTGGGAAGCCAAGCAAGCACCTCCCTTCCCTGATAAGTGGAGGCGGTGTGGCAGACTGTGGCCCATCCAGGGGGCAAACAAGCAGCAGTTCCTGAGATCCATGTCATGCTGGAATTTAGGAGACTTGGAAGGGAAGCAAGCACCACTTCTCCCTGATAAGCAGTGGCAGTCTGGCAGAGTGTGGCCCTTCCAGTGGGAGAACCAGCAGCAGCTCCTGAGATCCACGCCATGTGGCAACTTAGGATGCTGTGAAACCAAACAAGCAGCCTGTCTCCCTACTAAGCAATAGTGAACCTACTGATGCACGGCCTAGAATCAAACATCCCTCTTCCCTACCCCTCTCCTCCTGTCACCCCCCGTTATCAAATGGGAACCAGAAATCTGAGCGTCTCCTGGGAAGCAGACCATAACAAATAAGGGGGACTTCCTTCTACTATCTCTTTGAAGGCAAATATTTTTATTACTGTTTTGCTCTATTCTGATTAATGGTATTTCTCTATTCAATATTCTGTGTTGATAATTACTATAATGTTCTGTATTTCATCTCATTTTATTATACGTGTTTGAAAGAACAACTATTATAAAGATAATAAAATATGCTGTGATACCTATTACTATTATCCCAGTAACATGTTGTGAAGTTGTGTACCAATTTCACTGTATGATCTTAGTTGGCCTTATTCTATTGTACTTTACCACTTTCAAAATTTAAAAAAAGAAACATAATCTCATCAATCACTTTGATAGGCTACAGATAATGTCTCTTCAAATCTCATTTAGGACAGTGAGTACTTTGTTCTTAATATACTTCAGCAGCATTTTGAAACATGCATTTGGTTTCATAGAACAAAACATAAATAACATCCAATATGGTACCCAACTAATAACTCAAATGTTAGTGGAAAATACTGTTTTTAAAAAATAAGTATATAAAATGGAACCAGGCCCAAGCTGTAATTTATAGCTCACTGTCACCAAGTGATCACTTTCAATTCAGATATAAGAAATATATCTTGGGAGGCTGGTGAAGGAGTTCTTCCTTGAATTTGGGGCTATCCTAAGTTACAGAGCTGTCTAAAATAGAGAAACCCTGACTGAGACACCCCACACACAAAATGAAACTTGAAAACAGACTACATAAGACACATTAAAAATTATAGCCATACAATACCGAAAAATGCCAATAATGTTCAACACTTTCGGAGAAACAATGTGGATATCTTCCATACTACACAGAAAACACTTTCATAGTTGGGTATTTAGCTCAATGGCATGACCACCTTCCTGGAAAGCATAGGTCATGAGTTCAATCCTTGGTACAAAAAAAATCCACATTTTACCTTCATGACACTGGGGCATAATTACAGATAATCCAAATTAGATCTCAAGTATGGAACAAAAAATACATGGGTCGACAGGGATGTGAAATACTGATTATTGCCAGAGCTGGTGTTGATCACCTCAAGGAAGCAATCAGAACCCAACTTTAACTTCACACTTACTCTAAGAACTACCTGAATTTCAGTGAAGATGCTCTATGTTGTATGTCCTGCTATTGGCTTCCTGCATCCTGTCAGTCACTTGCACATCCTTTCCATGCTCCTCTGATCCATCCTCAGCAGGAAACCCTTCATGCGTAACTATTGATATCACTGCAAAATTTCTCTTTAGAGCTTTTCCTTTACACCACTTAGTAAATTCCATTGTAGAACATTTCCATATTTAAACTATGAACAACCAAACTACTAAATCAGCTCTTAATTCAGAGATGACACCCCTATTCCTTTCCATTCAGAAGGATATTATGCGTATATGTCCATGCAAATTCCTAAATTTTGTCATTTTTTGATGAGAATTTAACAGGTAGCCCTTTCTGGAATTTGTTCATCATAAATTTTTTACCCCATCCTTGATAACACTTTCATATTTGCTTCATTTTTCTCAGACTTCAAAACTCTATGGCTGTTCTCACAAACCTAGTCTGTGAGCAAGGGTGCCACCTAAATAATTATGTTCAGAAATTATTTTGCACTGATCTGTATAATACACAGGAGTTCATGAGTTGTTTGGGAAGCCTTTTTCCACTGAGGCACACTACTACACATCTCTGAATTCTCAAGACCTTTGCCACTACCCGTCATGAGGATGGAAATATGAGAACATAGTATAAATTGATGAGATCACTATAAATACAAAAAAAGCCCAAGTTTAATTTGATCCATTGTGGCTATGAGGCCCTGCATTTCAGGCATTAATGAACTTTGGACATTCCAGATCAGCTACTCTGAGGAAAGAGAGCAGAGATGTAGCTTATTACTACTCTACAAGCTATAAAAAGCATCATAGTCAGGGTTTTCCCAAGCTCCTTCCAATGCCTAAGATTGTGGAGTTACCAGGCCAGCAGTGAATTTCAAAGATGATACTTGCATCTGCTGCTGTCATAGTGGAGCCAGGGTTCTGGGGACCCCAAATCACCCTTGCCAACAGCAAGAGGCAAAATGAACAGTGAATGACCCATGGCCAATACTTGAGGACCTCAGGAG